CATTTCGAAGCAAGTGAAAGTAAAGGAATTACTTGCCACTTACAGTTCGTAAGAAGTAATGATCAATGGTGTAGTAGAGTTGAGTTCATTACCATTAATGTAAAGTGCTTCGTGTCAATCATGTTTCGAGCCCAAACGTAAAACTTTAACTCTAACTCTCGAAAGATATTTCATTCTGTAATGATATATTTTCACAAAAGAATAAAAGATAACGATATTATCGTTATTCCGAATTTCAACCAATAAATCAGTAAACCAAACGCTCTTTTTGCAAGATCATTGCTATAATCGAAGTATATTTTCATATCAAATATACGGGAGAATTCTTAAAGATCAAAGAGAATTCCAATAAAATTAATGTATTTTTGAATGTGAATTATTTTGATCGTATATAATTGGTCAAACGATTCAACTCTTGGCACGAAATTTTACAAATAAACGAAATTATAATTGGCAAACAAAATTATTCTGATAATAATATAATTCCTATTTCCTCCTTTTTCGAATCTTGAATAACAAATAATCTCGACTAATCCTTCTTTTAATAAGATATATTTTAAAATTACACTTAAACGTTTATTCAAAGAAAAAAAAAAAACGAGAACGCTCATTATCTAATATCCACTTATCCTCCTTTAAGAAGCCATCCACAACATTGCATTACTTCACGAAACACCACGAGCCATACCTCTTGCCGATCCGAAAATCCAAAAGCAATACGCGAAATACACGAGGAGATTCCGTATCGAGGAAACCTTAAATTCTCGGAGAAACATTACAATAAAATTCTTGATCATTTCTACGATCACTCACGTAAGCAATATCAAAATACGTAAACTTGGAATAATGAAAACCTTAAAAATCTTCCTTCAACGGACAGACAAAAAAAAAAAAAAAAGAAAAAAGAAAGAAAGGAACAAAGAACACAGCAGAAGAAGAAGAAGAAGAAGAAGAAGAAATAAGAAAGAAGAGTGTACGAAGAAACGAACGAAGAGAGGGGTCAAGAAGATGAAGCGTGTTAAAGAAGAAGAGAGAAGAACGCAAAAAACGCAAACGAAAAAGGGGGAGGGGGGAGGTGGAAGGGAAAGGATGCATCGAGGGGCTTCCGTGCCAAAAGTCGTCCATTTTTACGAGCCTTGATCGATGCTTCTTCGTCGAGGAAAGATGAAAACGGGAAACGAAGCGTGTGCGGTGCTGTTCGACGTCGAGGATCATTTATTCTAAAGACGGACGGAGATTCTCTCGGCTTCGTGCTAAAAGTCTCTGTATTACGGCCGGATTTTCTCTCTCTCTCTCTCTCTCTCTCTCTCATCCCTTCAGTTCGAATCTCTCTACTTATCGATGCGAGTAGCGGCAGATTTTCCCCGGATTTCAGCGGCCTCGGTTCCGTTCCATGTGTAAACTCTGATACGGCCTCTGACCAGCTGCATCCCTCTAAACGCCATTCTTTTCTTTTCTTTAAAAAAAAAAAAAAACACACTCCGCCCGATTATCATGCAAGCGTGAACAACAAGATCCTCCTCGATCTGTCAAATGGATACTCATCTGTTGGATGCTGGTAGCCTCTAATTATGCTGGTGGCCTTCTCCTCCTCCTCCTCCTCCTTCTCTTCCTCCTCCTCCTTCTTCCCCATCACGTCCTGTGGTGTAATTCTCGAGGTGAATTCACACGAGGGGGATTCTCACACAACACTTGTACGACATTAAGGGCAACAACGCAACGGGTTCGAGAACTCGCACTGCAACCGGTGGAGCGACGTCCGCGGATGACCGGAGGAGGTCGACTGTGGTGAAACTCGCAGCGTTCACCGCGCACTGCCCGCTTTTAAATTCGCGTGGTGAGCAGCTGGCGATCCGCGCAGACGCTTGGCGAACAACGTCCGCAATATCGCAGGGACGGAGATGATGGTGGTGGTGGTGGTGGTGGTGGTGGAGGCGGCGATGTCGGCGGCGGTAGATTAACCGAAAGGTGGGAGGAAACGGAGGGCGCGCGGACGTTGACTGGTTATGCGCCGGAAATTCGCTAAACTCGTTGCATAGTGGATGCGCGGCGGCTTTCTTGGAATCGGCCACGTGTCGTGGCGATACGCGCCGTTGCTTCCACCAATCGAGATCGGGGGAGCGGCTGTGTATCGATTGGCGTCGATGGATCGTCGTTTGTTGTTGTTGTTGTTGTTGTTGATTCGTTCGAGCCACTTTTGCCTCGAAAGGAAAGTAGCTCGAAGAAGAGGGGAGGGAGATATGCGAATATTGTGCGTCCATTTTCTTTTGAGAGAGATTTAATTTTTGTAGTATGGAGTATGGGAGTGTTTTTCTCTTATGCACGCGTTTCTTTTTTTGGAATAATTTATTCCGCGTATGAAATGATTTAAGGAGTTCAAAAGTTGAAGCTGAAAATAATAATGAAAAATAAACGAAAGAATTATTAATAATAAATAATCGGATCGTACGATTCATTGAAGATGCAATAATAATAATAATATGATTTAGATATGTATAATATAAATATTATTTTTAGGTGTAAATGTAATTTTTTTTCATTATGTATAAAAAATTAAATTTCACAAAATGTGAACGCACAATATTTATGCGGCAAGCCATCAATTTTGTTTCTTGTAACGAATAACATGCTTTGTCATGGGAAATAATGTATTTCGCCGTTTTGCCAGGAAACAAGATTACATTTGGACATTTTCGGCAATGTATGTACGTATTACGACCAGATCAGAACTAAATTCTGATTATATCATATTTCATAGACAAATATACAAATGCGATTCTTTTTCATCGTTATAAACGAAATACGGTACTGTACATGATAGGTCACTCAAAGTAAAATTTCAGTAAATGGTCGAAATATACTTCTCTTCGTAGGCAACATTCCAAATGTATTCATTTTTATCTCTATAAGTGAAATATATTACTTTTGGTTGGAAATCAGTACGATATATCAATTTCCATGGCAAAGAATGATATGAATATGTTTCATTTTATATTAAATCGTATAAATGTGTTTTCTTTTTATGGAAAAAAACGAAATCTGAAATCTGAAATCTGAAATTTTCAATCATATCGATTAATAATGATATATTGATAATAATATCAATATTGAAATATTCTTAAAACGAATAAGGTTAGGAAAAATGTATTTGTATATATATTGCATTAATTGTAATAAAATTATTCAAAATTTTTATTAATATTATTTGTATATTTTTCCAATTTTATTATCTTGAAAGAATCTGAAAATGTATGAAAATAATTTTTTATTTGTATCTCTAATATAAAGATATTTGATTGGAAAAAATGTAAAAAAAAAAAAATCAAATAAGTAAATATTATATTAATCAAAAAATAATTCTAATATATAATAGATTAACATGAAGTAACAATATTTCAAAGGATGCACGTATAGATTGTAAATAGATTGAAATTTAAATTAATATTAATTGATATAATTTTGAAAAAATGTATATACCTACTATATTTCTAATATACATATATAATTTTCAATATCGAAATTTTTTTTAAGATAAAAAATATACTAATTTATATATATATATAATTTAAATAAGAATTCATTTATTAATTTGAATAATTTTATTATAATTAATATATTATTACTTTTGTTTTTATGCGTTTTAACGACATTTTAATATTATAAAATATTATCGATATATCGAATATCGATATTCTATTCTATTGTTATTAATATTCATCGTTATCGTCTTTACCGACAGTCACACCTCTAAATTCAAGAGAAATGTATCGAATATTCGAAATATATTGAATATCGATATTATTCTCATATTATTAATATTTATCGATAATTTTATCGATAGCGATATTTCTAAATTCGTGAATTTCTAGTGGAATATTATTGCAACTCCGCGATCGATTATCGATTCAGACAAATCGATTCAGACAGTCGAAACGACGGAACGTGATTCCGCCATTAACGTGACTCGACTCGTCTCGTCTCGTGATATTCTTTGCGAAACTTTGTGACGTAAAACGTAGTGAAAAACGCAGAAATATTCTCTCTTTTTATCGAATTTAAAGCTCAAATTGTTTTTTAACTATTTGTTTGAAAAGTGCAGACGTTCGACGTTTTCGGTATAACTTTTATTCGGAAAACAATAAAGTTTGAAGTTGTGGTGTACTTGAGTAAATTCCAATAATTAGGGGACTGATTCTTAAACTTTGCCAATTTATCACGATGGGAATTCTTCCCGTGAATGGTGAAACTTTGGACTGATATTTTTACCTATATTCAAGCATCGCAATATCCAGTGCCCTTTCAATGCATCGATTGTCGTGAAAAGTTAGAAAAATGAATAACCATTTAAAAGAAATCATCGAAAAAGGTTAGTTTTACTATTATATAAAAGTAATGTCGAAATTTTCTGTAAGAAACTGAATTATTTATTCTCAAATATCGATATTTCGATAATTTCTCGTGCGGTATAACGCAGAACGTTTAGAATAGAAATTGTTAGGTTAGAAATATGATCGTCGACGATCTCAATAGATATGCTATGATATATATCATGAATAAAATTAAAATTTTCATTATTTTTTAAAATATTTTTGTACGATTCTGTCATTCACACTGTCATCATTGAACATATCACAAATTTTGTTTCCTATAAACTGCGACGCAGTTTTTCAATTGCCATAGGATACAACCAGATGGCAGTGATAAGCATAGAAACCTTTTTCTTTGTTCCTGTCAGTTTATTTTATTCTTTGTAGTTCACGATAAAAAGTACGAAAGATATAGTGTTAATAACGAGTACGTGTATCCCAGCAATTATTTTAATTACAATAAACGTTCATTACACACAAGTAAAAGAATAATAATTATAATTTATATCTCTCATCTCCTCTTTATTCTACACTATTCTATTTAGCATAATTTTATTATTTTTAAAGCATAATTGCACATCTTCTCTTTGTTCATTTTCAACTTAAAATAAATGGTAAAAAAAATTGAATCAAATAATAACTAAATATTTTTTTTAATATTAAAATATCATACGTTTAAACGTATGTTTTATAGGTTAGAAAGTTTTTTTTTAACAGAAACGGTTTCTTACAGAAAAAAATCCGACATTGCTTAATGGCTAACCTTTATTTTTTGGTTATTTTATATTCAATAAGGAAAATTGAACAAGTTTTGTTGACTTCGGGAATTGAATAAAATTTTATACGAGTTTCGTGACTACGATATTTCACCGACCGCCAAACCATTTTATAACCAACAAATTATCCTTGTGTTTGAGTTAAACAAACTTCTTCAATGCGCCAAGGCTCTTGCAAACACTTGCGACTGAAAATCGGTTGCTTGCAGCGAGCAAATTTATGCAACCATGCGAATTTCTAGACCAGTAGTTCTTAACCTTTGCGAAATCACGAGATTGTTTTTTAATTATAAAAAAAAATATACACGGTATTAACTAAAATCATAAGATTGAATGAAAATAAATGAATATAAAGTAAATGATTCATTTATTTAAATTATGATTTGGAATAATTTGAAGATATTAATAAAAATACAGAAAAATCTAGTAATAATTTTATTATTTTATATTCCTTTTCTAATTTTTTAAGAAATTATTATTATTCTGGATCATTTTATTAAAAATTATAGTTTTACGTAATAGGAAAGAGAAAATTATACCTTCATAATTTTAGAGAATATGTTAATGTTTCGAATAACATAAGTTATCAACCACTGGTCTAACGTTTCGGACATGGTATCATGCGAATATAACGGGTACAATCCGAACATCATTAACCACTGTAATTGGTGTCTATGATGCCTTGTTACACGTGAATGGAAATTCTGAATGATTACGTACAATTAAGGAACAGAATTATTGAGCATTCAATTCAACGATTTTACAAATAAATCCAATATTATCCTTCGAACAAGACCTCCTCTTGATTTTTTTTATAGAAAATGAACTCTTTTCCATATTACGATCATATTCTTGCAAAATCTCTGTAAAACTGAAAACTTTTTTTATTACTTTTAACAACACAATTTATTAGTTAAACACGCGTAAGAGGATACAATATATAACTCTTATCCGAGTTATAAATTAATTTCGACAAAACCTCGGTTCTTTTTTAAAGAAGAAACGAAACGATAATTAAAAATGCAAATCGAACAATTTTTCTTCCACGTCCTCTAACGCGTTACCAGTAGTATCGCAAACGGACAAATGCGGCCAACTTGGTCGTCATTCGTAATTAAAAAACGTGGAGCGATTTAACAAGCACACGTTGCCGATTCTCGCTCACTCGTCTTCTCCTACAATGGAATTCGTTTTCTCGATTAACGATATTAAATCCCGGCTCGGGGCGTTGGATATTCTAATTAAGGGGTTGGGCGAGGTCGGTGGGGCCATCGTTGAAATTAGCACCGGGGACAAAAGCGGAGATAAAATAGTTGTACGTGCGTCAACAACTCTGCCCTATCTTTCCTCTACGTGCATCACGCGCGCCGGAGAGTGGAGACTGGAGAGCGTAAATAAATCGCGCCTCCGGCGGATTTGTAGCGGATTCCAGACCGCCTCTCGCCGTTTGTCAAGACTCCTGTTGTGATTCACCAACTTTCATTCCACGCGTTGTGAGAACGCAGAACGGAGAACACTCGATTCCCTTAATGGTGGCTGACGCCTCGAGCACGATGCTCCTATGTATCTCGTCCAGTTGCTCGTAATTTTCTCGCGGGAGAAGGGAATAATATCGAGAGCTCGAGAGAGAAAGAGACAGAAGACAGATTCGAAGGCTGGAGAGAGAGAAGGGATTCGATGCAGAGTCGAAGAGAGGAAGAAAGAGAGAGAGAGAGACACCTGAGGAACAATGGGAAGACATCGCGTCGCGAGTCGATGTGTCGGCGCAAGCGAGTGGAACGATGGCTCGTTACCATAGACAAGTTGCCGGGTTTCAAAGGCACAACTTTGGAAAGTTTGAAAACGTTCTTCTGGAACAGTTTCTCGCTACAAAAGAGCGTTTCACGGGGGAATCATAGCTTGATTTCGTGCAACAGGGTCGAGAACGCCTTAGCTCGAGCCAAAACACGTTTAACTCTCGTACGTCGAGGAGGAGGGGAGGGGGGAAAGAAGCAAAAGACGTCTAGCCGTTACGCGACAAAAACTTCTCGGTCGGCGCGCGTTTCACAGCGCATAAACCCCGGTATATTTGGACCGAGCGGGGAAACGCGATATTCCATTCGCCTCCTTTTTGTTTTACTTCCATTTTGTTCATCTCGAAACGACTTAATGGATTCGCACGGATGGAAAAGAAACACCCGGGAGTAACGGAGTTCAATCGTGCGATCACCCGTGTTTTTTTTCATTAAGGGGGAGGAGTCTGGAAATTTTCCAATTTGTTCGAGTGGACGGTGTTAATCCTTTGCGGTCGTATGTCTGTCCTGCGATACTACACTGGTAGCGATGGGATCGAGTAGCTCGTAGGATAAATTTGAACT